GTCCCAGCTCGTATTTATGGATCGGCGTCAGTCCCTAATGCTTGCTCTCCCCCGAGGGGTCCTGAGGCAGGAGACCCAGCAGTCCCTCTGATTCATTCATTCCATGGACGCTTTGCCTTGTTGGCCAGTGTCTGAAGACTGCATTGATGTCATGGTTTGTATGACCACAGGGCAAGGAATTTTGCTTCCTGTATTCAATAGGAAACTTAATGACAGTCCTCAGACCATGAGACTCCGAGAGGTGACCAGGAAGAGTGCTGCAATAAACATGGGAGTGCAGGTATCCCTTTCATAGGCCGATTTCTGTCCCTTGGATACATACCCAGCACCTGCCTAAATTCTAACCCAGCGTTCATAAGAGCACCTGCCCTCCACAATTTACATCAAGCAATCAGTACATTAAGCTCCCCACGCCCCAAGAGTATTTGCTTAAATGTGCATTTAAAGATGCCAATGTTCAAATTAAAATTAAATTATTTTAAGGATATGCAGAGGCATTGGATGGAGGTATTTCAGGGAAGGAATTGGAAGGGAAGATACCTAAAAAATCACATCTCAGCTAGCCGAGTAATCCACCCAAGCACCAGCCCTCTTCCTGGCACCAACTCTTTGCCCTATAGCTTTACTTTCCCCCAGGATCTGGTGTCTGCCACTCTATGTCCTGGCTCCTGCTCCCTACTCGTGTGTCCAGCTGGTGATTGGACCCCATCTCTTGGGTGTTCGGATTCAACATGTCCAACAAATCCTCTTCTGCCCACCCATCCGTGGCTAAAACCTGTTCTTCCTCTGGTGTCCTCTGTATCAATGGATGGCACCATTTCCTACCCAGTTGCCCAAGACAGAAATTCATTTAGGTCACATTTACTGCACAGCCATTTGGACACTTTTCCTCCAGGGCTCAGAGCTGTAGAGCACTAGTGGGACCCACCTAGGCCCTGGCGAATGAATCAAGTTATGAGGGTTGACATCCACAGGGCAGAGTGGTGGATGGGGTCCTATAATTTACATATAACACAATTCACCTCTTCAGTGGGTAGCTCTGTGAGTTCTAATAAAAGCTTGTAGTCATGTAAACATTTCAATATTCAGGGTATAGAACTGTTCCACCATCCCCCCCCCAAAAGAAACCTCCCTCATGCCCTTTGTATTAACAGTCAAACTGTGTCCCAAGCCCCTGCCCCTGCAAACCACAGATCTGTTCTCTGTGCCTACAGTTTCACCTTTTTCAGAACGTTGTTACATAAATAGGATTATATAACATAAATGGTATATAAATAGCATCATACGCTACAGAGCCTTTTGGGTCTGGGATCGTTCGGTTAATATAATGCATCAGAGATTCATCCATGTTGTTGTACTGGATTTATCCTTTTTTATCACTGAGTAATCTGTCATCTCATTTTCTTTGTCTTTCACTCCTTATACCATGTACCAAGTCCTGACGACTCTACTATCGGACTCTGTCTCAGATTCATTCTTTCCTATCCTGACTGCCACCCATTAATCAAGGCATTAGCCATGTGGGGCCTGAACACTTGCATGGCTCCCCTTAAATCCATCCAATGGGTTCGATCACCCACACCTTGTTTCAGATTTTGCAATCTCTGAATCCCCTCCAATCCTGTAACCCAGCACTTGGATCTCACTCCCAGTCCTGCTTTCTTATCCATATTCCAGCAGTGTGGCCCCATCTCTGGCCCTGCCTTCCTCGTGACCGGGCCACCGTTCTGCCCTGCAGACGTCAGACTTCATAACTCAGCCCTTCCTCCAGGGCCTGGACGGGTCCTGCTTGCTCTGCATCTCTGAGCCCTGGAGGAATCCCTTCTGAACCGCCTGTGTAGGCAACTCTCATCAACATCATTACTGTTTCTCTGCTCTGTAATTAGAAGGAGTTTAAACTGCTACTCCCAGAATGTCAGTAAACTTCATCAGAGTATATTTTAAAAAATAGGGCTAATTAAACTGCGTTGCTCACTCAGATTTTCGTCTTCTCCTGGGAATTCACAATGACTCGTGGTCTCTGAGCTTGCATTTTCCCTTCTTTTGGCTTTTGATGGGAAGTAGAAATGTGGTACTGGGGGTGAACAGGCCCTTCCTCTCCCTTTTCCCCCACTTCTTGGGATGCAGAGCATTTCTGGAGAGCACCCCAGGGACACTCTGGAGGCCTGATGCCGGGCCTGAGTCCTGGGAGTGGACACTTTGTCAGCCAATCTTAAAAGGAAAACAGACAGCAAAGATGTCTGATTGTACAAGCAAGGGTGTTGTTCAGCACCTCCTCTTTGAGTTTCAAAGTGGTCTGCACCCCTCTCAAGGTTTTAAAATCTTGTATGAACTAAAATAAAATCTTAAGCCCCCCAAGATGACTGAATGGACCCCCTCTTGGCCAAGTGGACCCCACCCCCCCCAGAAAAAAAAAATCTTAAAGCTGAGTTGCCAGCCATAAGAAGGGAGATCAAACATGCCCTGTCTTTTTGGGAGTGATTTTTTTTTTTGGTAACAATATGATACAAAATCATTAACAAGCCTAAGGCCATAGAAGACAAAGGTTAAACCACACCTGCAGCTCATCAGTTACTTACCAGATCACTTGAGCCTGGGTGTATGTCCGGTATATGTCTGGTGGCTTATCTCTGATTAGCAGACTTCCTTAACTTAAAACATTCCAAGCCTTTAGACAAAGCTTCATTTCTTTAACCAATTACAAATCAAAGAATCTTTAAATCCACCTGTAACCTGTAATTCTCTGCTTCAAGATGTCCTGCCTTTTCAGGCCAAACCAGTGTGCACCTTCCACGTATATGACTTTATGTGTAATTCCTGTAATTCCTGTCTCCTACAATGCAGAAAACCAAACTGTCACCCAACCATGGCAAGAGCACTTGCTCGAGGCTTCTTGGGTGGCTCTCCAGGCCACGGTCACACATACTTGGTTTGGAAAAAAGCTCTTTAAATTATTTTACAGAGTTTGGGTTGTTTTCCAGTGACATCTCGAATTCACCTCCTAGGGGGCTCTTCTCTACAAGATGTGAATGAATGACAATGTGATAGCTTATAGACCCACTGGGGGCCCCTTGATGCTCTGGGCTTCTTCCTAAAACATCTGAAACTTTGGGTAGAAAGGTGAGATGAAATTTTATTTTTAGGCTTCTTAGTAGCTGATAACTTATAGAGTTTGCAGTCTTTTGCCTGTTATTTTAACAGTGAGATGCTAATTAAAAATTTTTTGTGTGTAGAGATGGGGTCTTGCTATGTTGTCCAGGCTGTTCTTGAATTCCTGGCCTCAAGCGATCTTCCTGCCTCAGGCTCCCAAAGTGCTAGGGTTATAGATGCCTAGCCAATCTTTTGGGGTTTGTGTTTTTTGGGTGTTTTTTTTTTTGTTGTTGTTTTTGTTTTTTTGTTTTTTGTTTTTTTTGCTACTAGCCATTCTAACAGATGTGAGGACATCTAGCCTTTTCAAGAGTGTTCTTGGAAAGTCGTCAAAAACAAAAGGACCATGGCCCTGGAAGCACGTGAGACAGAGGTGCTGTGGCACCCAGAGATCGTGGTTAGAGCACGAGCTCCATCCTAGCAGGATACCAGGGAATCTCGAGCAGCCGGGCAGATTTAAAATTAGCCTTATTATTAATCCATCTTTCAGAACTATGTAATTCTAATACCAATTTGAAACGGATTTAGAAATTTGCTGCTAATGAGGATGGCATTAAATAAGCAGATGCAACTATGAATATGATCGTGCATAGTAGCTGTCTGAGAATGGATGCATATGCTAATTAACTTGATCTAATGATTCTTCATTGCACGCATAAATCATAACATCGCTTCGTATTCCATTAATCTATACAACTATAATTTGTCAATTTACAATTTAAAATCTAACAACAACAACAAAAAGAAATATACAGGGTTCTGCGGAGCCCTAGAATCCCTTCTTTGGTGAAGGGATTTCTTTTTTTTTCTTTTAGTCTGTCTCAATCTGTAAGAGTCTATGTTTTCAAATCATTTAATTTATTTGCTTGCTCATTTTTGTAGCAGACTTGCTTCCCCCTTCTAGAGTCTACACTATCCTAGATTCTTACTGATTCTCCCCCTCTCTGTTGATGTCAGTCCCCGGGGTCACTGGACACTTCCTGGACTTTTCTCATTGGTGGGGATACAGAGGCAACTGAGATGACAGTCCCCACTCTGGGAGGAGCAGTATGTGTCGTGAGAAGAGGCTGTACTCAAGAGCCACAGGGCGAGTGATGGCTTGTAGCCTGGGGCTGAGGGAAGGGCCCACCTGGTGGAGCCCCAGCCAGGTAGGAGCATCAGCTCGAGGCTTAGACACACCTGCTTGGAGTCCCTGCTCCCCTACTTCCTGTGTGACCTCGGGCAGGGGTCCCACGTTACTTAGGGTGATCCTAAGGAGAGCGGAAGTCAGGCTGAGAAGGGTTAGCACAGGGCCTGGCATACAGCAATCGCTCAGTGATGTCAGAATTCACAGTGATGACAAGGGTGGCAATGAACCCCTCTGGCTCTAACCTGCACGCGTTTGGTTTCCCACTGCGTAAGACCCAGCTCTTTCCATTTCAGAATCCCCCCAAATGCTCCTACCGCTCGGTCCCCATTTCCTTCTCCCACGAGCCTCTTCCCAGACCTCTCCAACCCTCGGTAATCCAGTGAGACGTACCCATAGAAGCTCAGAAATAAATCCTATTCTGTTCCTATTTCGGGCCCCCTAGAAGCCCCGGCAAAGAGTCGAGGGGTGTCCAACGCTGCACCTGACTTTGACTTCACTCCAGGGAACTCCTGAGAGGAATGAGGGGGAGGCCCAGGCTGGAGAAGCCGGAAGCCAGCCACGTACACCCAGTCTGGGGGCTCAGGGCATCTCTGTCGCTGTCCTTGGAACCCTAGAATCCCGGCACTGAGAGCAGCTGTCAGCGTTGGCTAGTCTAACTAGGGCAAGTGATGACTCGTAGTCATGTAGTCACTTGTAGCGATGACTTGCTAGTCTAACCCCTTACCTGTGTTTAATCCCCTTCAGAGCCACCCCTTAGGAGTGACCATCCCCCTCAGCCAGGCTCCGGGTGCTCCGCACTGCCCGTGCTGTGAAGCGGTTGAAATCCTACGTTGCCTGGAAACAAGTCTTCTACTATGACGTCAGAGCCCAGCCTACGTTGCCTGGAAACGAGTCTTCTACTATGACGTCAGAGCCCAGCCTACGTTGCCTGGAAACGAGACTTCTACTATGACGTCAGAGCCCAGCCATTTATACACTGAAATTCTATTGGCTAAAATTACCACCTGGAGCAGGCATCCTATTTTCACAGGGATGTGATGAGATTCACATCAATCTCATTGGGTTCACCTTCTTGAACTACCAATAGTTCAATGTGTTCCTATCAGATGCTTTTGATGTATGAGTGGTAGCAGAGATTGGGAGTCAGCTGTTTATGAAGTTAAAGAAACATAATCAGTAACATAGAAGTTGCTAACATATGTTCTTATAAACATGGACTATCTGTAATTGTCATCACCCTGAAATTTTCCTTGTGTGTACCAGTGATGACATATGTTAAATATTCTGATATATTTTTTGGTGGTATATTGAAACTGATTTGTGATAATCATGTTGCCAATAAACATAGTATGAAAAGTTTGTAACCAGCGGGAAGAGAAACATCACTTTAGAAGTTATGGTCCTTTGGGGATTGTTTTTAATGTGAGGGAAAGGGAAATTTGATTATTTTCTAGATGTATTTCTTTCCATGAAATCACTTCATGCCTAAAATGTGTCCTATTAAGGATGAGCAAAATATTATAAATTTGCTCAACAAATATTGGACCTCAAGAAGAAAACAATAAAAATCCAGGTGTAAATTAATCTTTTTCATCTTCTAGGCTTTGTTCTGGAAGGAATTTCAAATAAACACCACCTCAGCCTTTTCCAATTTGCTGTTGTTAGAAGCAAAATATACCTGTGGGGAAGGTAGGAAACACTGGTAGACAGCCCTGGGATTGACAAGGTCAAGCCTAAGGAGGTGTCTTTTTTTCGTTTCCAGAAATACTTGACCATTGCCATATCATCACGTTCTTTCTAAAGATGTAATTTCCAATTGTTAGCAAGTTTTCTTTACATCCAAGGGAATTCACTCAGGTCCTCAGATCATGGGTATGGAGCACTGTACAAATGTAAATGGTTATTATTTCCTAAAATCGATCATATTGTTTTTTCACAAATCAGAAAGGGAGAAAATGGCAGAAGGCAGGGGTGGTTGGTAAAGGAGGCGTGCACATGCTGGGACAGTGCAGTCTGTCCTGATTACACTGTGAGGCACGTTTTGCCTGCTCAGGAGCATTTAAATGGAACACAGGGTGGGAGGCAGGCAGCAAGCAAAAGGATTCTGGAGCAATCTATAAGGACTGTTAGGAAATATCACAGCCTCATTTTTCTGCATGCACACCATGTCTGGCAAATCTATTCATTTGCTATCTCAGTTTTTCTTGATCAGATATTTTGGGAGCTTAGGCTGAGGTGGGAGGTGCACATGTCTGATGATCCCAAGCCTGCAAGATGAATACCGTGTTTCCCCAAAAATAAGACCTACCCATAAAATAAGCCCTAGCAGGATTTCTAAGCATAAGCCCTACCCTGAAAATAAGACCTAGTGATGGGCATGGCTACGCAGTGTATCTGCACAACCCATGCTTTTCGTTGTGGAGCAGTAAAGACGATGAGCACCCCTTTTCATCTGCCCCATGAGAGCTCTATTGCTCAACATGTTAGACTGAGGCCAATGATTCTAAAGGAAATAGAGTCGCAAGACATTCAGGATGGAATTCGGGGTTTGGAGAGTTATGATGATGTTCCAGAAGACGACGACTTAACTCTATTTGAATAAATGTAGATTGTTGTACCGTTCTTAAAAAAAATAACACATCCCCTGAAATTAAGCCCTAGGATGTCTTCTTGAGGAAAAATAAATATAAGACCTTGTCTTATTTTGGGGGAAACATGGTAATGATTTCTTAACCTTAATCCATCTAAATGGTTGATCTTTATGACAGTGACGATCTGTCTGTGTGTAGCTTGGATTTGCATAACTGGTGCACTGGCAGCTGCCTTACTTACAGGCACTGAGATTATCGTTCGGCCAACTGTCACCAGGAAGTGGCTATGCTATGGGCTCGTGACCTCAACAAGCCTGGCATTCCACTCAGTTGTGATTTCAAAAATAAACTATTTTTGTTAAAACTATAGACTATGCAAATCTCATTTAAAAAATATTACTTGCATCATGTGAGAAAGAATAAGCATTTTGGATAGTCTTAAGAGCTGGATTTGATTCCTGGTTCTATGTGATCTTAAGCATATTGCAAAAGGTCCTCCAGCCTGTCCTTTATTCATCAAATTTTAATGCTAACGTCTAACCTCACAGACTCATCGAAGATGCGATTAAATAAAATATTTACAGAGCTTTTTTATTTGCAATGCCTTATGCAAAAGTTCGTTATAATTATATGTAATGAACTTCACCACCACAGAATAAGCACCTAAATTATTTTGCACATGAGGCCCCTCAACTATTGTTGCTCTGAAATCATAACTCTTTAGATTTGTAAGATTAGACATTTGTGTTCTACTAGATCCTAAGTCTTGAAGCTTCCTTGAGGTTAGGTTTGCCTATAGCTTGCCTATATCCTTGGGATCTTTATAGATTTTTCCAAATGTCAAACTAGTAAATGTCGTTTTCTTTCCTTGGTCTCATCCTTGAAGGGGAGACAACATGGAATTTATAAGAGAGTAGTCAGGACAAGGAAAAGGAGAAATATCTTGAAAACACTGACAAAGAGTCAGTCTTCTAAAATGATTGACTATAAGAACCAAAAGAAACTTACAGAAACTGGCATCCTTAATAGATCATAAAAATATATGGTCTCTGTGAAACAGATATCAGGCTGAGATGTAAAACAACACAATAGAAGATTGTGTTGAAGACAAAATAGAAGATTGGCAAGATTTTTTTTAAGGTTGTAAAGAAACATAAAAAGGTAGAACAGAATTAAAGTCCTCAATGGAAACAGAAGATTGCAGAACTGACACTGCAGAAAACTTTAGTCAATAATGTACAAGACATACCAGAAAATTAGAAAACAGAGAAAAATGACAATAACTAAGTCATCAGAGAAATAATGATTAAATAAAGAGAATAGGTAACAGAAGATCAATCAAAGAACTATGAGTTTTTAAGATGGAAAATCCAAACTCATTGGAAAGAAAGAAAGAAGAATTAAGGCTTAGTTGAAGAAAATGTATAACTTAGTATTATAGATCAAAAGTGTGTTCACTATGTTCCAAGGTGCAAATCAACAGCAAATGACACATGGATGGACATAGTGTGGTGAGATTTTTCAATTATAACATCAAATAAGACATCCTGTAAACATCCAAGCCAGAAAAAATAATTAACCAATAACTAGACAAAAAAAAATAAGACTAACATTAGACATCTTTATAACAGCACCTGATAAAATAGGGCAAATTATAGAGTTTGAGGAGAAACAACAGTAATCCAAGAATTTATTACTTAGTCTTGTGATATGTGAAGGCAATCAAAAGATATCCTCAAATACAAAAGGCATAAAAAATGCAATTAAGAAACAAATATAGTTGGAGACATATGTCACTTAAGTAATGGCTCAAAATTAAATCAAGAAAGGAAAAGCACATGTAAAAGACTTATGGTTTTTCTTAGTTCAAATTCAAATTCAGTGGATCATGTTGTCAGAGTAAATTCTGCTTCTGTGCTTCTTTGAAGGGGTGGGGTTTGTTTGTTTGCTTTGGCTTTGTCTTTTCTCTTTTCTAATGCAAGTAAATTTATTTCTTGACTCACACTGCTTACTCCCAAATTCAGTTGGAATTTCTTTCTCAGATTTGATTACTACTTAAAACATTAAGCACTAAGCTACAATTGCTTTGGCATTTACTTGAAGCTAAACCTACCAGCTTGGGATGCTTTGCCAGGGGAATCGCTAATCAGAGAGATTAGTGATTTGAGGAAAAAGAAATTGACAGATCTTACAAGCTGCCTCAAAACCCCAAACTTTCTAATCTTCTGTTTCTGTCCCCAACCCTGCAACTTTCCCAAAGCACAGGGAGGGACTCTCTCTGGAATTTCCTTATGTAAGAAAACATCTTTCCAAAAGAAATGCAATTGTCTTAGGACCTTTTCCCATTTGTAGGACTCTAGTCAAATAACCAGGAAAGGTTAACTACTAGAGAAGAGACTAAAAATTGTCACCATGCACAGATAGACCTTTCATCTATTCTTCTGAGGGTGGCTCAGAGAGATTACCTGGGAGACATTATTTGCTTAAAAATCCAACCTCTATTCACAATGAAGTTCTGCTCCTCACCTTCCTGCCACCTCCCCAGAGCTCAGATGAATTTTGTTCCAGGCCATTGTTCTTTGGGCTCATTCATTCCCCCTAAAAACCATTCACTACCCCTCAAAATGGCCAAATTCCCCCATCTCCCCTTCCCTATGGAGGAAGGTATGTTAAGTATTTGGACATCATTAGGTGACCAGGTAATCATTCTCCTGTGAGTCCCCCATGCTTATGCATGTTAAATAAATTTGTAAGCCTTTTTCTCCTATTAATCTACCAGTTGTCAATTTATTTTGAGGGAACCTCTAAAGAGTGGAGGGGAAGCTTTTCCTTGGACCCCACGCTCCCTAATTTGACCCCATGCATTATCATCCTGCACATGAAAATTTCTCTGATAATCTGGGCAGATGCAAGTAACACCTTCTGAGTTGTTTTTGCAGTTTCATAGCACTTTGCATCTTTTTCATGGCTTCCATTATGTTCTGCAGTTATATTTTAAACCCTTTATGAATTAAATGCTTTTTAGAGTCAAGCACTATGTATTCTCTTTTTTTTTAAGCCCTGAAAAAATTGAATTTGAAAATTAAATTGAATTTATAGAATGATGCCTTCTTTCTTTTAAACCTTGGCAAATTAACTAACATTTTCTATACCCATCCACCATCCCCCAGTCGCTTCACAAATGGAAAAAAAGAAATCATTAGAGTCCTCTCCTAAAAACATAACATGGGAATGTAATTTCATCCACAGAGCTCCTTAAAAGAAAAAAAAATTTCTATTTTAAATGATTGCTTGAGCCGGTATTACATATTTCTACTGTTTAATCTCACAGCTAATACATTTCTCTGTGTGATTTATTTTCCAAAGTTGAATTAACCATTTTACTTTCCTTGCCCTTAGGTTTTAAAATTTGCAACTGTGATGAGTTATTGAGTTGTTTTCCAGTTGCAGTAGCTCTATTTCATTTCGAGCGCTATTCATTATATGACTTAAT